CCCTCAAGGCGAATGTCAACCGACACTTGAGTATCGAATGCGACCCTCGAGATTAAAGAGGACCGCGCAAGTATGGGTACTACATGGTACACCATCATCGCGACTGCTTGCGTACGTTTGCATTGCTAGTCGATATGAGTTAGTCCTGCGTCCGCTCGGTTTTATACTGAGTCTCGCGCGCGACGCCTATCCGATTTCCGCGTCGGGAAGTTATGGGACGGCTACTAAAGGGACTAGGAGTGTTGTCGCGTTGTTCGATGTGTGTGTGCGTGTGCGTTTTATTTTTGTGTTCGTAAAGTGGTGTGCGCGTGGTGTGTGGGATGCGTCCTAGTCGACCGACAACGAGCCACGCTTGGGACTTCATCCCCCCAAGATGTCGGTTCGCGTGCGGGTCCGATAGGCGTATTACCGCACGTACCCCCTATGCTACAGCGAACGAGAAACGCCCTCGGTTGGTCCACCTTTGCGATTGCAACTGATTAGCTTTCGTACTGTGGGCTGGTAGCTCGGCGGGGATACGCCCACCGAAGGGAGGTGATAGCTCTTGTAAGGTGGAGGTAAGTTGTGCCTCGAGTAGGCCCTATCCTGTCGTAGGGGCTTGCGAGAGGTATGGCTGGCGCACTCGGCCGGAGCGGCCTAAGGAAGCTTCATTTGTGTGCTCGTGACGAGGTTGGTCCAACTCCTGCGTGACGCGGCCGAGAGAGTCTCGCGCTGCCATGTGCGGTGCCGGACCGATGCGCCCGACACCGAGAAAGAAAATAGGAGAACTTGACCCAAAACACAGAATACAGTGGAAATTATGGTGGATGGATGAGGCAGGTTGGCAATGGCGCGCCTTGCCAACCTTCCTCTGACCTATACCTGGACAACCCATAACTGAGAGGGCGACAGCTACCCACCCCCACTTCCCGAGACATCTCCCCTGCCTCTCCGTCGATCTCAGCTCCTCACCCCACCCCCCGGAGACCGGCCCACCTACCCCACCCCTCCCCCCGCTTGCACTCCCCACTGAAAACCCACCTTCGCTACCCCCATCTCCCCCACCATGCACTGAGGACCTCTCTCAAAGCTCCCTGCACCCCCCACCACCGTTCCCCTCTCAACCCCCTCCACAGAACCCCTCACCACCACCCGCCCACCACAAAACCTACCCCCACTATCCCCCCCCGCACCCAGTTCCCGGATTTTCTACTCCAGATAACTAAATTTGGAGCTACTCAGTCCAAATAACAGATACTCACAAGACCTGGTCAGGCGACATCTTTGGCAGCAACTCCAAGACCACAGAACAAGACACAGAGCAAAAGGACAAAGCTTGAGTGAAGGAAGGAGAGACAAACCTCCCCAAGACACCAATTGAACAATGAGGCTCAGTGACGAGGAACAGACAAATTGGGTAAAAGAAAGGAAAATGGCTGGTGGGCGATGGGAGAGAGAACAGGACCCTCGAGAAGTTACATGACCTCACTCATTGAAATGCACAGACACGCGAAAATGGTGCCTTGACACAACACAACCCACATGAATGATAGAAACCATACCTGAAGGCGCTAAGTTCCAAGGGTGGGGACTGGGGAATGGTCAGGTTGTGCTGACCTACATACATTGCTCTGGAACATGGCGATAATATTGAGAGTAACGAATGAGACAACAAGAGAAATGTTGGGTGATTGAAGATAAACAGAACACTATTTGGCAATCATGATCTGATCAACACGCATGGGATCATAGCATACTATCACCAACAGTGAACCATCATGTAGGCAGACAACAAGAGCAGAGATAAGAAGACAAGAGACAATGTATACTATGTGAAATGTTAAGCTAGACGTAGGCGGGCAGGTAGACAAGTAGATCCACATAGCCAACATAAACGCAACCAACAACATCAGAGGTATGAAGTCAAGAGGCATGGTATGGGATGCTAAAGATTAAGCAAGGTGAAGGCTGCAAGGTAGGCAAGCAGCTCAAGCTGCTAGACAGTGCTACATGTCAAGGGTCGCTAACGACGCCTTCTTCTGGCCACCATCACAAATACATTTGGGTAAAATAATGTTCAGACAAATAGTCAAGGGGAATAGATCATAACGGGTTGACAGACACAGACATAGCATTACTCAAATAGGGACGTTGCAGAAATAAGGGTTGGGTTATTGGAGAGGGGGTGCTCCTAAAAAGGGAAGGGTGATTATAGCAGCTCCATGGGATAACGGAGCCCCAGGATGACTCTATAATAATCACAGCCCCGGGAAACCACAAACACCAATCTCAGTGCTACACGATGTATCAATGGGACGCTGGACCCGATTTCCAGCAGGTGTCGCTCCCCACCAATAGATGG